AATTACAATATTGCTGGACCTCCAACGGAGTTGCCGACCGAATTAGGCCCGTCTTGTGAACCAAAGAACTGCTTCGATAACACTTGCCGTCAGGCTATAGTTTGTATATCATAGACATAAAAACATAAACGTAACAAGAAAGAGAAAAGACACACAAGGCAGAGGGCCGACTTCAACAGTCCGAAGTGACTGTAAGGTAAGCGGAATCGGCCAACGGTGGCCTAGCACTGATGGGGCCCAACTGTTGTCCCGAATTTCGCGGGGTCGAATACCAGCCACGGCGGCTGCATTTTCGATGAAATCGAAAATTCTAAAGGCCCGTGAAGTTAGATTCGAGAACACACTAAAGAACCCCATTTTGTTCAAATTTCCGGAGCCCTCAACGGCGTCTCTCATAATCATATGTAAGTGTTGGGACGTTAAACACACACAAGTCTTAGTTATTCAGCTAAGTGACCAGAAAATAGGGGATTATTCGAGGGCTTGTCTCTCTGTTATATACAACGAGCAAGCCACAACGAGTGCATTGTCCTGTGTCTTTTTACCGTTTCTTGTCACGTTTGCGTCGCGTAAACAGGTGAACGCTATATTCCCGCTTAAAAGGGCACTCGCGACAATTCTTACGGGAAACTTTCGAAGCGCGACTACGAGGAAAACGGCTGCCTATGCATGGTTGTTCCCTGCGGTTAGCTGCAGCGGGCCGAGAACGCGACGCTAACGGTTCCTCCGACGTCCTTGGCGAGCAGCCAAGCGAGGCTCACGTCGCGATGGCCCCACGCGCCGTACATTTTGCGCGGGACAATGGACGCGTTGCCTCTGTCTGAGCATTACCGGCCTCCCGAAGGAAAGAACCGAAGCAGTCGTCGCAACTCATTAGCCTCTTCTCGTCACGGTCCGCCTTCGGCGCGCGCTCGAGTGTGTAACGAAAGCAGCTATAGGCTGGAATGTTGAAGAGACATACAAAAGAAGCTGAAAGCCAGTTTAGACCGATAACGTCATTCTTAGAAGACTCCCTTGTCGTCACTCTCATGATAATCAGTTGATTATCGTGAGATAATCAAACGTCGTATCAACTAGAGAAATACATGGGGTTGTAGGCTAGTCGAACTGTCCATAGACGGCTTTTTTTTTCTACAATCCCCCCATCTGTATCTCGCAAAGATGGCAAATAAACTTATTATTACAGTGTGAGCACTCACAATGTCGTCTGTTTTTAGGGGCGAAGCTCCTTATGGCGTGGCTTGTGCGTCCCTCGTAGTACGTAACCACCAGTGGCACATACCCGAAATAGCGGTCCTTACAATGACTGCTGGATGGGGGCACTTGTATATGATGAATACATGATGAAAAAGATGTGAGATGGCTGTGCTTGGAGTTTTCTCTAGACATATGGACGGACGAACGGACTGACACACGCACGGACGGACAGACAGACGAATGAACAAACGGACGGATGCACCAAGGATCACACAGATAGGCGGACGCAAGAACGAATGGACAGACAGACTGACGAACGCTGCGCCCCACCAATCCGTCTTGACTGCATAGTATCTTTCCTTCACGCTCAAACTGAGCTGCGCTAAAGCAATATCATTTTATTATGCACCAACTTGCCCAGTTAGCCGTACTTGTCGAAAACTATTTTGTTTATCAATACGACATGCGTACTTTGTTTATCAATACGACGTATATAGTATACGGCATACGTGTATATTAGCGTACTCGTATGTCTTATACTGGTTGTGACACGGGCACTAGCAAGCTGTCCCATGAGATGAAGAACCTCATTAAGAAGCGTCAAAGCATGAAAAAAATAAATAAAACGGAACTGACGAAGATAAAATAGAAGTGGCAGAGCTTTCGAAGTTGATTAATACGCGTAAGGTATCTGATGTAAGGAGGTATAACATAGAGAGAATTGAACATGCTCTAAATGATGAATGAAGCGTCAAGGTGGCGAAGAGAAAACTTGGGATAGGCAAAAACCAGATGTATTCACTAACGAACAAAGAAGGCGAAGTGACTACAAATATAGAGAGGGTAGTTAAAGTATAGCGGAGGAGTTTTACAGAGATCTGTACAGTAGCCCGGACAACCACGACCATAATTTAAGAGCTATAGCAGTAGCCCGGATGACATCCCACCAGTAATGATAGAAGTCAGGAAAGCCTTAGAGGGAATGCAAAAAGGCAAAACTGCTGGTGAGGATCAGGTAACCTCAAATATGCTGAAAGACGAAAGACAAATTGTGTTAGAAAAACTAGCCACCCTGTTTACGAAGTGTCTCCTGACGGGGAAGGTACTTGAATATTGGAAGAATGCTAACATCATCTTAATCCATACGAAAGGGGACGACAAGGAAGAAGTACAGGCTGGTCAGCTTGCTCTACGTCGTATGCAAGCTATTTACAAAGGTGATTGCTAACAGAATGAAGACAACATTAGAATTTGAATCAGCCAAAGGAACAAGCAGGATTTAGACCAGGCTACTCAAGAATAGATCACATTCATCAATAGATCACAATCAGGTCATAGAGAAATGCTCAGAATACACCCAACCACTTATAGTGGTTGGGTGTATTCTGAGCATTTCTCTATGACCTGATTGATAGCATGAGTTGCTGGGTGTATTCTGAGCATTTCTCTATGACCTGATTGATAGCATGAATGTGATCTATTCTTGATTAGCCTGGTCGAAATCACATAGCCTTCATAGATTACGAGAATGCATTTGATCTAATAGAAATACCATCAGTCATGCAGACACTGCGGAATCAGGGCGTCGACGAATCATATATAACACCCTGGAAGAAATCTACAGAGGATCAACAGCAACCATAGTGCTTAATAAAGAAAGCTACAAAATACCAATCAAGAAGAGCGTAAGACAGGGTTAATGGATAGTATACCTTAGTAACCTGTGCTTCGCCGATGACATTGAGTTCCTGAGCAACTTAAGGGACGAATTGAAAAAAGTTAGACAATGAGGGCATAAAAGTAGGTCCTAAAAGTAATCCGGAGAAAACGAAAGCAATGTATAACAACCCCGGAAGAGAACATCGCTTCAAAATAGGTAGCAGTGCACTTGAAGTTGTAAAAGAGGGCGTCTTATACTTAGGACAGGTAACAACCGCGGAACCGAACCACGAGATTGAGTTAACTAGAAGAATAAGAATGCGGTGAAGCACATTTGGCAAGCACTCTCAAATCATGACAAATAGATTGCCACTACCCTCAAAGAGGATGGTATATAACTGCTGCATCTTGCCGGTACTTACCTACGGAACAGAAACTTGGAGGCTTACAAAGAGGGCTCAGTTTGAATTGAAGACGACTCAGCGAGAAATGGGAAGGAAAATGGTAGGTGTAACCTTAAGAGACAAGAAAAGAGCAGAGTGGGTCAGGGAACAAACCGGGGTTAAGGATATCACAGTTGAAATCAAGAAAAAGAAATGGACATGGCCCAGGCATGCAGCGCGTAGGCAGGATAACCACTGGTCATTAAAGGTAACTGACTGAATTCCCAGAGAAGGCAGACGGGTGAGGGGGAGACAGAAATATGGGTGCGCAGATGAGGCTAGGAAGTTTGCGGGTATAAATTGGCAGTAAAAAGGACAGGACCGAGTTTACTGGTGGAATATGGGAGAGGTCTTTGTAATCCAGTAGACATATTCAGGCTGATGTCGATGATGATGTCTTTTACTAATACACCATGGGATTTTTAAACGCCATGGCCACCGCAGGACGAATATAATGATCTTCTATGCTAGCTGATTCCACTATCACACCTTCAAGTTTTGTATTGTATTAACACCACACAACCCCCTGGCCCATAGACGTGCGCACAGAAAAGTGAGTGGGCGAAGCGCGCCCTCTCACACATTGTCTTTGCACTGTTTTCCTTCATAAGGGCCTCAATGGGAGGGGGTCAGAAAGTGGCATGGGTTTGGGAGGTGAAACTTCGTCCACTTTGCTCCCATTGAAACTTGGCTACCGTGAACCGAAAGTGAACCCACACCCTTGAGCTCAGTGGTTCAATGCTTCTTTTTTGTTCTTTATTGGTTTGTTTAGGACAATGTTGCAATTGTCCTAGGGGCTACGACCAAAGGCAAACGGGACTGTACCGAGCCACCCGTACTACAGCAGTAGCATAATGGCGGCATTCACAGAACATGAAAGCACATATTAAAAAAAAACAATAGGTACAATTATGTTAGACGCGTGAGATATAAAATTCACGAACAGTATATACAGTAAATGAAAACAAACGAACACCTCAACATTACACAGCTTCATGAGCCTATCCAAGACACTTCAAAAGTGGAAGCACGAACATCTACAGAAAGGTACACGTAGTTCAAGAAAAAAAAAATCTATGAAAGTCAACCCAAAACCACCCCATTAAGCTCGCAAACATTTGCCGATAACAAAAAAAAAAAAAAACATATGCGTAGTGTTTTGATCGTTACAATTCTTTTATCGTTCAGCCACTATGCCAAAGCTCGGTGGTTTATAAAATATCTCGCCATCTCCAAGTATTACACTACGCACAGAAATGAGATTGATAGTTGAATAAACAGAGTGGCGTGTGTAACCAGCCGGCTTTGCCTTCGCGCAGGCAACGCGTTTTTCCATCCTCCTCCTCCTCTTTTCTCTTCCCTCACACTATCAACCGAATCAGCAGTGCGCGCGTGTGCATTGCACGGACACTTGTTTGGCAGCTGCTTTTCGCCGTTAGCGCGAATTCACCAGCAAAGCGAAACGAGACAAAAAAAAAAAAAATAAAGCCGTTTATTCGCTCTACGCTCTCCCTTTGTTGGGATTTCTTCTCTCACTGCCTTCTCTCCTCCTCTCAGAATCCGCCGCTGACGGCGCCAAGCTGGCAACGTGACTCCGCCGACACCCCTACCGCTACGTTCTCTCCTATCCGACTCTCCCTCTGTCTGATTCGCTTGCGCTTCTTTCTGGCGCTAATGACACGCTTCTTTCTTTATTTTACCGTCTACCCGTGGCGACGGTTGCGAAGGCGCGTCGCTGATTTCGCGTTGCCGCGACGACTTGTGCCCGCGGACGATTCCCGACCGTTGCCGCCGCCGACTAGTTCGGCTGCATGGGTGCACTGCTTTGCTGGGCTGGAGAGGTGCGCGTGGCTTTCTAAATGCGTCTCCCTTCTCTCCACCACGCCGCCAACGCCGCGACGATGTCTTGAAGCGCTGCGCCGAGCTCCCTACCGGGCTGCAGGAATCGGGCGCCTTCTTCTTCTTCTAACCACTAGCACCACCGCTCGCTCGAAGGCTGCGTCGTGAAGAGAGGAGGCGAGTGCGGCGGCTGGCGTGGATCTCTGCTGCGACTACCGGCACCTTTCATGTTCGCTTCGCCGATGGATAGGCCGGTGTACACGCGCGTTGACACGGATAATGCCGCCCGTCATCGGCCCGACGCAGCGTAGAAGAAAGAAGGTTTGCCGAGATTCAGCTTGAGGTAAGCACTCGCAAGTAGTCTTGACCTGCAGCACGCCATCGAGAATGTTAACTCCTTCGTCGACTGCTCGTGTACTCGGTTGTACGCCAGGGTAAATGAGCGTTTTGGCAAGTTACGGCACACACCGTAAGCGGTACGCTATTTTACTGCACCGCTCCTGAGTCGCCACTCGTTATGCTTTTGCCGCTCCCAACTTCGCTGAACGTACGCCAATAGTTTAAATTGCATACTATTGTGTTATCACGCTACATCGTTGCCTCTCAGCCTGAACTAACGGGGCTAATTGCAACTGTCGTTGAACGGGCGCACTGTCACTACAAATGACAGTGGCTAGAGCACAACGAGCGAAAAAAGAGGATTGCCCCGACGCGGTGGTCTAGTGGCTAAGGTACTCGGCTGCTGACCCGCAGGTCGCGGGATCGAATCCCGGCTGCGGCGACTAAATTTTCGATGGAGGCGAAAATGCTGTAGGCTCGAACCCCAGGTGGTCGAAATTTCCAGAGCCCTCCACTACTGCGTCTTCATAACCATATGGTGATTTTGGGACGCTAAACCCCACATGTCAATAAAATATCAACCTAAAGAATAACAACGCCATAACAGGCGATTCAAAAATGAATTCAAATAAAGTAATAAGCGTGGTATACACCTGTTAATGCGATGGCGTTTTGTGAGGTCCAAAGGACATGGTATGACGTGGTTATTCATTTACTCTTTACCGAGAATCACCGTGTCGTTGCACGTTGCTGTGTTCTCTCTGAGCCTAAGAAAATTTCCAGCCTTGTCTATTGCTCCGGTGACATTTCTTCTGTTTTTAGTTTGCAAAACACGGCATTCGCGCTTTCGCCAGCCTGTGACTCTCGCGGAAAACACAAACATGTATTGACACGCTGATGTGTTTTCCCTCGCGCATTTCGTGTACGTTCTGAGAAGGACGTGTATGCGACGATTTTCTTTCATCTTTGTTTTCGCTCAAATACGTGCGTCGTGTATTAGACGGGTGTCGCACGGAGAATTTTCGATCGCGATCGAACCGAATAGGGATGGAACGTTTTCCAGCAAAGCTGCGTAGTGGTTTAGTTCTGACGATAGTTATAGCGCGAGAACCATACCACGTCATGCCATACCAACTAGCCCAAGCTGCCACACTTCTAGGTTTAGTTCTGTTGAGTTGCGTGCGCAAAAAAAAAAAAAAAAACACGCGCCGAAAAACAATTTTCCGCGAACCAATTAACTCGACAAACCCTGAGTTCTCGCATTTAAAAAAAAAACAAAAAAAACGGACGTGGCGTGAAATTAAACGTAAAGGTGTGTAATTTCTCTAACTTGACAGAATGACATAAACAACCTTGAATACCTCAAAGGCGAGGCCATCTGCATGAAAAACGAACCTCGTCATTTTCATGCTTTCGAAACAGCAGGGCTTTCATACTTACTGCGGGATCTCATTTTGAGACCGTCGTTGACAATATAGGTCACGCTCAAAAAAAAAAAAAAAAAAAAACTCGTAGGCAATAGTTAATATATGTATAAACTCACTATAGCAGCACTCTGTATAGAAGACACAAAATTCTCTCAGATTCACTGGCTTGTATCATCTCAGTAGTTTAAGGGCTCTGATTTCTCGGGGTCAAAATGATAATTTTCTTGGTCTAGTGGCTAAGGTACTCGGCTGCTGACCCGCAGGTCGCGAGATCGAATCCCGGCTGCAGCGGCTGCATTTCCGATGGAGGAGGAAACGTTGTAGGCCCGTGTACATGTTCAAATTTGGGTGCGTGTTAAAGACGCCCAGGTGGTCGAAATTTTCGGAGCCCTCCACTCATAATCATAGTCTCTCATAATCATACGGTTGTTTTGGAACGTTAAACCTCACATATCAACCAATTATCCTGACAGCGCGTCGTCCTGTGCATATCGCCTTCTCTTGTGATCGTCTATCCGCACATTTTCAAGCAGCGGACTTGAACCAACTCGCCCAACCTTCAATCCTGCTAAAAATAAAAAAATAAAAAAAACTAGTGTCACTCACCGCTCGTTCAACTGAAAATTATGGCAGATTGCATGTATTTTGGGAGGCAATTTCATGCGAAGCAGTCGGTGCGTAGCTGCTTATGCCGCACTTGGAGCCTAGTATTAGTAGGTAAATGGACGTCCTCGCGTCATTTGAGCTGTTGTTTGCATATCGCAGGCTTATCAGGCATGTTTACTGCACCTGCAGAGAAAGAAAAATGTTTATAGAGGACGCTCCGCGAAATCTGACCCCAGGATGTACGTCACGACTATGTAACAAACTAGTGCTCTCTCCGTACGCCAGAGGTCGCAAGTGCAAAAAATTAGGAAGTCATCATCAATTTAAAGGAGTGTTTTCTTTTTATAAAATAATAATTATACGCCGATATTCGGCATGTTATTTATACGTAAAACAATTTATTTAACACACCTTACGTGGCTATTTTTGTTAAGCCGCGCTTCCATAAACACATCTACGATTCGCGCCGATTCGAGTACCCGCCATATTAGCATGCGTCTAGCCCAGGTCAACGTCGGCTGCTTCGGTTTTTTCGTGTGTGAGACAGCAGCGGAGGCACGTTTTCAAGTGAAGCGTGTCGAATGACTTGTTGGCCTAGTTGGGTCATTGATTCAGGAGAAAGGTTACAACTGCGGGAATAAGACACCATGTAAGAAACATTACACAGCCACACAAGATGCACTTCGTGTGGGGCGTGCCTCTATGTTTCTTACGTGGTGTCTTATTCGAGCTGTTGTAACCTTTTTCTAAAGCTTATGAGGACGGTCAGGTTCGCTAAAAAACAGCTTGCGGCTGTATGAGGTGGCAAGACGGGAACATTGTGCAACGTATGCAGCATAGCAGAGCATTTCTGTGCAATGCTCTTCTCAATTTGTGTTTTTTATATGCTCAGCCTGTACCTTTCCTTTGAATAAAAAAAATGCAGATATTCTGTCTCCTGCCTCTTTGATTGATATATAGAGCGACCGCTTGTTCCAAAAAGATAAAAACGCGATGAACAAAGGCGGGTAGTGAATTATGATTACTTGCATCTGTTTCTATTAGAATTTAGTCGAAATGAATGGCACGACCTCATTTCGCACGAACAATTTCGAGCTAGACAAAATAGGGAATCGCTAAATCAAAACGACAAATAATAACCTTGCAATTCGGGCGGAGAACCGTGGTCTCAGTTCATTAACTTTCGCCATAGCCAAACGTCGGTCGCGCACGTTAATACGAAATTCGCGCCAGTGAAACCGAAACGAGAAGCGCAGGCCAGTTGCTCTCACCAACCACCAGGTGCACTAGGCTCGATTAGGCCGCCGAGGTCTATGGGAGTGGGGGCTCTTAACTTGTTTTTTTTTTATATTTCTCTATGCTTAACTGGCGTCTAAAGCGTCGCTCGATGTCTGACGTCACGCCAGCACTCGTGTTACAGTAGACGAGCACTTTTATGGAAATTTACCATGCGCAAGTAAAGCGTTCGTTATCGCATTCCTGTGAGGACGAACAAAGCTAGACCGTGGCATGTTGAGTCATAAGAGCAAACATTTAACTGTTTGCATTCTAGATCGCTATCATTAACTATAAAAAAACGGTATATGCCTTGTAGCTGTGGTATACCAGCATGGATTGATTGATATGTGGGGTTTAACGTCCCAAAACCACCATATGATTATCAGAGATGCTGTTGAGGAGGGCTCCGGAAATTTAAACCACATGGGGTTCTTTAACATGCGCCCAAATCTGAGCAGACGGGCCTGCAGCAATTTCGCATCCATCGAAAATGCAGCCGCCGCAGCAGAGATTCGAGCCCGCGACCTGCGGATCAGCAGCCGAGTACCTTAGCCACTAGACCATCGCGGCGGGGCGATATGCCAGTATACCATGGGCTGGTATGCGAGTATGCGTCAAACGTTTCTGTCGACGAGGTTTCTATGGCATATGCGACAGGTACGACAGACAGACAGACAGGTACGACAGACAGGTACGACAGACAGACAGACAGACAGACAAGGACAGACAGACAGACAGACAGACAGGACAGACAGACAGATAGATAGATAGATAGATATAGATAGATAGATAGATAGATAGATAGATAGATAGATAGATGGATGGATGGATAGATGGATAGATAGATATATAGATAGATAGATAGATGGATAGATAGATGGATAGATAGATGGATAGATAGATAGATGGATGGATAGATAGATAGACGGACGGACGGATGGACAGTCTGGTGGCTTACGTTTAGGCTAGTTAAGAATCTTGCATATTGAGTGGCTGCAGCCAACTTGAGACGAGCGGATGAAAGAAAAATGTTCGAGGACACACGATCGCGCTTTTTTCTTTCTTCCGTTCTTTTCAGGTTTTCTTCAGCCACTCAACGGGCTGTAAAAACGTGCCTGGTTTGTGTGAAGAATACCGTGTACAATCGCACAATACTAGCTCAATTTAATTTTGCCTGTCTTTGACAATATGTTGGCTAGTGAGCGTTCTTGTTTTCTTTTTTTTTGCATGGTTAAAATCCTCATAACATAAAACTTTGAAAACAGTTGCTTGGTCTTATAGCCTAGTTGACTAGTAGCCGGACCAATTGTGTGACATGTATACATAATTGCGCAAGTAGTTGCAACACTGACCAGGAACAACGAATTAGAATACAATAAAAAAGAAACACTTGATTCAATTAAAAGGAGAAGAAAAGGAGACAAAATATTTTCTTTCTTATAATTGTAACACTTAAAACTGTACATAAAGCGCTTCATGACAACATAAAAATGATTGCTCTCTTTCACATCAGTCGGTATGGCATTACAAATGTGAGTGCCATGAAATTCGATGAGCCTTCGCCCATAGTCGTTTCCGGCAACCAATAAATTGTAGTAGTTGTTCACTGGAGCTCTTGTAGGGTGTGCGGGTAACGTAAAGGTACCTGATGGGAATGAGTCATCATGTTTTATTGTTCTGTGAACCATATCAG